GCTACACTGAATGTATCTTAGGTTCATTACTCCATTGGTCCAAAAGATAAAATCGTTGGTCAAAGTCTAAACATATTTCACCTGATGCTTCAACCTGTACAATTGAGCTCATTTCCTAACCTTCTTGTATTAAGCTAATTTTCTACTATTTTTGGTTCATTTGATCTCCACTTGAACTTTGGCAATTATGGCTTTTCCGTTTGTTTAGCCTCAATAGGGCTTTTCTAATTGACTCATGGCATACCTCTGCTGAATCAGAGTCATAGCAGGTGCTTGGCAAATGTTTGTGGTGCATTGCATTGTGACCTCGCGATGGATTCTGTACCACACAAAAAGACTAAGTGCAATCCTGCTGCTGCTGCGCGGAACAAACATCTGTGTGAGGTCGCACCTGAATGATGTCTTGTGCATTTAAATTGCAGCATTCTTTTTATTCATAAATTGCCCATGATGTGCAGGGTCTAGCTGATAGTTGTTTTCCAGTCAGTAATGGTCCTTCAGCAAGCCGTCTTCATGGTAATTTTATATATTTCTTTATGATAACTACAAAATTTGTACAAGTTATCTAAGTTTATCGGCGTATGATATAGCTTTCTTAATGATTAATATGACAGAGTTCTTCTTGCGTCAATTCTGTGATGCCCACACTTGCACTGGAGGTCGAAAACCTTTCTCCCAAGGCCGCAGGAAGGTAAAGTTCACCATCACCTGTCCTTGGGCTGTTTATATGCTTACATAATCCCATTCTAATTTATTATTCCATAAAACCAAAACCTATTCAGATGTCTTTTCGGTTATGAACTTATACTTCTCTTCATTGATTGTCTCCTTTATGTGGCAAATGTGCAGAAGAGGAGTAGCATATCCTACCTTGTTATTTCCATTCTAACTATGCTGCTGCTGCTGCTTTTCTATTCGTACATTTACATGTATAGAAGGTATCTACATTAAACTTCCTCATTTGCCCAATTTTGGCGACTTTTCTGTAGATTTCACAATATTAATTTATGTGACAGTGGGGTGAAAAGGGGAACTCAAGAATTGAAGCGTGTCACACAAAGTGGAAGGAAGAAAAAGCCCATTTAGTTACGAGTTTTTTTTTCATAGAAAAGCAACATAGGCAGAGAAAGAGAGAGTATGCATTCCATCAGTCACAAAAGAAAAAGCTGTGTTGTCCCATTCTTTTTGTAATTTGAATTTTGACCATTATTCCAGTGTAGAGGAAGAACAAATATTATTTGTTTGGAATGTGAATGACAAAAATTTGTGAACTAATGAAGATTTAGTCAAACACCTTGTTGTGAAGCTGCTATGTGCATGTTTTCCTTTCTGCGATTACCTTTTAAATAGCCGAGTTCAGAACTACATCATTACGCCCTTATTATTACTCTTCATTCCGCATAATTTTTTTTTCTAGACATTGGTCTTACTGGCTACAATTTATGATAGAAAGCTCATTTAAAAGAACTAAGAAAATTATGTGGAGTCGGAGATTAGATATTGGGAGTGCATATTGATCTTTTTCCTTTGGTTTTTTAATTTTTGGGGTGTGTTGTTGGGTTTATGGTTGTAATTATAAATCGTTTAGTATAAGCCATGATTAATACTTTCCAGATTAAAAGAAAAAAATTCAATCAGCACAAGGATTGATGTATAGCCGGCCAACTGGTTTACATGTACATCACAGTCGCAAGAATAGATAGCTTATGGTGCAAACAAACAACGAATGGCAAAGATGATGAATTTGGCTCCCTAAGCTTTTGGTCTAAGAAATGAAGTCGAAAACTAAAGTGTGCCGCATATTATCCTGCCTTGCTCCTGTTGCAGATGACGGACGGTCAAGTGAAATGGAGCAATGCCTGAATCATTCATTTTCTTCTAGGCGGATCCCGCTTGAGTCCATACTTGTTGAGTGTTTTGATGTAATTTCTCATGAGGCCGAATTTGTTGCTGCCCAGATGATATAAGTAATCCCATGAATAGATGCCGGTGTTATGCAAGTCATCGAAGACAATCCTGAAACATCCACCCCACAGAGTCCACAATCACACATTGACACTTTGGATAAACAAACTTCTTGTAACGGCGATTACAATTCAGAGTTTCATAGTACCTTACCCCATAGTTTCCTACAGGTTCTGCAGACATAATCCCAACGTGACGCCGCCCAGATATCACCTGTGTCGATTGATAGATGAGTGGAAACCAAGTTTCTGAAAATATTTGTGGAAAAAGAGAACAGAACGCAGAAGTGTGAAGACACATTCAATTGAAGATGAATGGTCAATAAACCATATTGAGCTGCTAAAAAAACACAGAAAACATCTTGCTTTTGCAAATATAAAGATTTGACGAAGTGATCACAACACTTTTCACATTCTATTTCTTTTCTCAACGTTTATGATAACAAGGGTTTATGATATATTTTCATCTCTTACATAACCTTGGATTGCCTTCCCTACATTCAAAATTATTCCAACAACTATTTCATAAACCAAGTGAAAAATGATATTATATATACATATATTTATAAAATAACAAAAAGATTGAGAATTTACCTTTTCACCAGCAATTGACCTAACCTTGGCATCAACAGCTGGACTGTGTATTCTTAAGAATTCAGCTGACAAATTGAATACACTACCATTTCCAAACTCCACCTCTACCTGAAATAAACCACAGATTCGAAAAACAAAACACTGCTTTCAAAACATCAACAATATCAAGCCTGCCTGACTAGAGCTAGAGCTAGAGCTAGATACGTATAGTTCAAACCCAACTAAGAAAATCACAACAGAGCCTGGAGCTCAAAGCTTAAAAAGCTTACACATCTAGGCGCATGGAGAGACAATCTGGTGAGCCTTGGAGCATTCACGGTAGCGTGGAACCTCCGGATCGCTCTCTGTATCGCTGACATGCTCCTCTTCCTTCTGAATTGATCCTGATCTGGTGTGTGCTGTTCCTCCAGTTTGCTCCCTCTCACGCCCAAGCTCTCTCTCTGTCTGGGCCTAACAGCGTTATGGGCTGCTTGGGCCATGATACATTGGTAATAGATTTTTTTTAAATTGGTCTTTCCCTTTTTTCTTTTGGTCAGAAAACAAAAAATAGACCAAGTTTTTTAAAATCTATTACCAATGTATCATAGCCCAAGCTAACAAAGGACCTTCTAGTATAATGGTTTGGAGCAAATGTTCTCTAAAAAAAAAGGTTCTGGATTCGAGTCATAGCATTCGTGTAGTGTGTAAGTTTAGTATGCTATCTATCGCCCCTCTTAATAGGAAGGGTCTTCAAAAAATAAAATTTGTTAGATCAACTGACCATGCCAATGAACTTACTCCTTAGCATCCAAGTTCAAGTCCCTTTCTCTGTTAATTGTTAATTAGATTCCAAGGAATCATAAAGGGGTTTATGAAAAAAGAATCATACAAGTGCCAAACATTTAGTTACAAACTTAGCTTTCCACTTACTATTCCTTTTTAATCTAGTGGAGTTAAGGGATTTTTTTTTTCTTTAGAGAGAGAGAGGGGGAGAGAGAATTAGCTATTTAAGAAACAAAAAGACACCATCTAGCCAGATGGGAAAACACACCTAAGCCAGAAACAAGGATAAATAACTTGATCAGCCGCTACCAACATACATATATTATAGAGAGAATTGATGACGATGATATATAGAAGCATGACGCACAGCATATACCTGGACCATCATCTTATAATCGAGACCCCTAACAAGTAACAACCAACTTTATGCTAATTTATATGGTCAACCAAGAAACTCAACTAGCATTTTCCCCAACTTACTAGCACTAAACTACTTGTGAGTATACACTTATTCGCCAATAGTGCTAGAGTCACAAATTCGTATCCTTTCGCTGATGCGACAGAATTTCGTTTATTTATATCCGGGTTTATTTTAAACTACATTTATTTTATTTATAATCAATAAACAACTGTTATATTATGTGTCGCCTTGATATAACTTGAACAAACTTGAGTGATGAACGCCGGATGGCAAGGTGGTGAGAAAATATTCTTTTGTTGGAAGGTACAGACTTACAGTGATCGTGGGATTCCATGTTGGATCCGTTGTGCAATTTGTTTTGGCATGATGCCTGCACGTAATTAAGCAAAAGTACCATAAAGCCTGCCTATCTAGCTTAGCTTGAGAGCTACTCCACTTAATTTTCAGTGCTTAGCACGACCTTAACCAATTACCTTGCTCCACATTCATATATATTTATTTAATCCTTCGTACAATTAGTCCAATCCAAATTAACCCATCAAGATGAAAAAGGGACTCAATCTCAGTAGATATTCATAATAACCAAACACTTTTTAAGGTTTGTTTTGCAAAAACACAAACGATGTAAAACTTTGGAAACACTCATGGATCAAGTTTTGTGAGGCCCTCTGGTCTGGTCCGATGTTATAACTGATGAGTCTCCTTGATAGTTGAGTGAGAGAATTGGAGAAATTACAAATGATAAACACGCATGATTAAATTAACATCAGATGACACTATGAAAGATTGAACACAAGACAAGACAAGAATTTGTGAAAGAAGAGGAAGGACTGCAACTTAATTTCATATTTGAATGCAACAGTTGTAGTCAATCAAAATCAAAATCATCATCTCGTCTGATTTAACTCAAAGGCACTTAATAATTTTCAATGAATGGAACTTTTCAAAAGAAGAAAAGGTCTTGTTCCAGATTATTGAAGCCATCCCATGAGAGCATTGAATCCACACTGTCCATCCATTTCTGTAGAGAGTGTTCTTGAATTGATTCGCCTATCGAAATTGAAGGGTTGTTAGACTCTTCCACAGAGAATGAAGAAGTGCTATATGAATTTGAAGTGCTGGTGTTGTTGATATTGGTTCCTTGGTTCAACAGGAATGTTCCCAAATCCAAGCTTCCACAAAACATTTCGTAATTTTTCAAAAGATCGTTCGTCTCATCGAAACCTGCTAACTCTGGTACATTTTGCAATTTGTCATTGAATTCTGGAAACCCTCTATTGCCATTACCATCCTGCTGTAGCTTAGCCTCCAAGCCACTGTCTTGTGACTCTTCTTGTCCTTGTGATATTGATGAACTTGAATCTTCTCGAGTAATTGTCTGTTTATTTTCTTCAATGTTTTCTTTCTGCTCAATGGGCTTGTGGGTCAAAGGGTCTACACCAAGGTGCTTTAACCTCTTCTTGATTCTGGTATTCCAATGGTTCTTGATTTCATTATCTGTGCGACCAGGAAAATGGGAAGCAATCTTAGACCACCTGCACAACCAATTTAAGAACCAGCTCTACCAGTTAGCTTGACATGCCATTTGTTTATCTATCTTGGTTGGTTAGTTTAAAAAACAAGACAAATTGTACCTGTTGCCAATACATGAATGGAGTTGAATGATTTGATTCTCTTCTGTTTCTGTAAAAGAACCTCTTTTGAGGTCTGGCCTTAAATAATTGATCCATCTTAATCTGCAGCTTTTCCCACATCTAAGCAATCCTGCATAACCATACAAACAGAGGTTGGACTTTGAGAGACAAATAGAGAAAGAGATGTAAGGGGAAGAAGCGTGATCAAGATCAAAATGTCGAAACGGCACCTGCAAGCTTAGGAACCATTCGCCAGCAATGGATACCATTGTTGAGAATAAAGTTCATGAGTTTGTGATCTTCCTCAATTGTCCATGGACCTCGTTTCAATCCGACCTTGTCACAACAAGGTTGTCTTCCCATTTTTGGCAAACTCCGCCTCAGCAACAACAACTTAAAAAGGTGAGAAAGCTACCTTAGCCCTTAATTCCTAAGTGGACAATAAAGTTGGAGGGCTAGCTTAAAAAGGAACTTATAATCCAAGCAAAGATGCTGCCAGTTCATTCAGGCATTATAAAATGAGAATGTTGTTTGAGAGGGGAGATTAATGATTGAATGGAAAAGCAGTCAGTGTATAGATATAAAAGCATGGAAGGTTGCCATTATAATAAAAATGGCACCACCCTCAATTGAGCCAATGGAGAACAAGTCCTCTTTCTCTTTGTGAGAGAAATTTTTACAGAGGAAAAGGAAAACCAGACGTGGGTCGCCTTCATTGAAATATGTTTGTTTTTTGGCAAGCTTAGCCTCTCTCATTGGCTTTTAATCTATGTAAGCCAAAAGAATAATGAATTTGAAAGGTTCCTTGTTCCCTGAGTCTGCCCACTTTTGTCGTTAAAAACAACTCCTTTTGAGTCTTTTAGAGAGAGAGAGAGAGAGAGAGAGAGAGATGCTTTCACAATTATATGAAAGTTCCCTCAAATTCCAAACATGGATTCACTTGAGAGTTAACTTCTCAGTCACTTGATTAACATCAAAGTTTCAACCTTTTACATGTTTTTATCAATGCGGCTAAAAGGAGAGTAAATTCAGCTGCATTACTGAATTACCCAAATTGTCAAATTGCCCTGTCTATATAAAAAAAAACCAGGAATTGGACCCATGCAAGAATTAGCATTGTTTAGCAAGCAAAATCATGCATGGATGGTTGCAGCTATGTGAGTTTAAATCCACAGTGCTTTGCATGCTGCGAGGAATGATACCTCTTTTCTTTTCTCTTTACCTTTTTTTCTGGAGAAGCATTGATACTAGCAAATTATAAGTATAAAAAAGGAAGAAAAAAAAGATAGAACAAATTGAGAAAAAGTAGGAAAAACACAATGGGGTAAGCAGCAATCTACATGATGTCTGATAAGGGATACAGCGGGGTCACTTGTGTTATATGATTTGAGTACAGAGAGGGTAACAGAGCCTACCAATATGATGTCCTCTGTGGTGCTTATTCACAATTTCTCTCTCTCTCTCTCTCTCTCTCTCTCTCTCTCTCTCAAGGCAGGCATTTGACTTAGAAGATGATGTCTCTATACATGCAAAAGTATGAACTTGCAACAATATAATGCTGCGATTGAATTGATTAAAAGTGGAATAATTCAACTTCCAGTTGACATCCATACAATCCCTCAGCATATAAAATAATTAAGTAGGGTGTTTAATTGGGTTCATGCACAAGAATATTCCTCATGATCTTTTTGGGATGCAGAGTCATCAGAAACACAAACATCTGGGGCCAACGTCGGCGTTGTGGAAAACATTATCTTCAGTCCTTGATGTTCCAAAGATGACCCTTCTTGATTGTCAAAGATTATATTGCTTCAAAATTGCCAAATAATACCAGGGCTGGCTGCTTACCCCCCCCAAAAAAAAGAAAAAAAAGAAAAGACCCCAGATTCGCATACTTTATTTGAAATTGAATGCTGGTACACAACATGTTTATCATGTTTGGAAGGCCCTAGGCGTAGAGAGGTAGATGCAAATTTGAACCTCCCCAATTGTCACCTCCCTAAACCCTAAACATGATTTGAATTGTATGCTTCATCTCACCACAACCATGTGCTCATATTGTGGTTATTACTTCCCCCTTTTTCTGAAAAGAGATGCTTCTCAAAAACACGAACAGAAAAATTCTACACACATGTCAAATTATTATTAGCACAAATGTAAGAATTTTTACCCACATGCTACAGCAGAAGGGGGCAAACATTTTCCTCATGTTATATATGCGTGACTTCCTCCCTCCACAGATTTTTTTATTATTTTTTGGGTTTTGTGTAAGAAATTTAAATAGAGAGGTTGGATGGACCAATCACAATCCATGACATCATTGTTGGTAAAACAAGTCAAGAACAAAGATCTAGTAGCTGGTGACAAAACTGACGTCCGGTTGGAAAGCATCATATAGTAACAACCAGCCACACTACATACCTCTCTGCCTCAGCAAGAAAGTTGTGCATAATCTTAGAAGAAATGTAGCGTTAAGCTGTCACTAACACATACCAAGTAGGCTGATCAACAACAAAAAGAAAAAACAGTTTTAAACTTCGATGCTTTTGAGTTTTGATTCAGACAGAAAGATGAAAACAAGTTTTATGTTTTAATTAGCAAGTAAACTAGAGATTTAATTAACCAATGGTCCAATTGGGGTGACGGGATTAATGTTGGGTGGGAAGACTAAAAAGGTATCTTTGAATCCCGAGATGGGAAGATAAGAATGGCGAATAATTGTCGTGTATACAATACAAATACAACCAAGCTCTAAGATGATACTTGTTTTGTTTGTACAGAAAATGCACCTGCAAGCAGACAAAATAATCACCTAAGACAACTACGTGTGCATAATCATGAGTTTGGTCTCTCGAGGCTTTAGCATCTTTAGGTACAACTAACGTCGCTCTCACCATTTTTATTCACAGTCACCACCACTCGTGCAACATCGTTAGTCTTTACAATGGCTGTCAGATAACAAAGACTATTTGAGCCTGTCCGTCACACCATTACTGAATGTTACTAATTTATATGTTGTAATACGGGTGGACGACCAATGCATATTTTAGGATGTAGTAATACCAAATAAAACACATGTTGTGATATGAGTAGATTTGTTACGTCACCTATCTCGGTTGCACTGTACGACTCAAATTTGGGTGGGCTTCTTAGTAGTATCTTTTCCAAATCAAGTTTGAACCTCTTTGTTAGGCCATCTCCATAATAGTAATAGAAACATGTTTGGATTTCTAATCGGTATAGGCCCTCTTGTCTTGGGTTCTAAATTTGAGAAAACTACCGCCCAAGTAGTAGTAGCTTGCCCACCCAGCAAACTTTGGGTTGGGCCAAAATTAGGTCAATTTGCTCGAAAATAAACACGACGTCGTATGGTCGTATTAATGGTGATCCGCCCCAAACTTCAAGTGCGCGCCACCTGTATTGATAAACTTCTATCTGTACAGTGATTTAGAATGACATGTACACATGCTATGTTAGAGAATATGAACCTTCCCTTTCTCTTTTTTCTTCTTTTTTTCTTTTCCTTTCTGTTTTTATTTTCTTATGCTACAGCCGATCCCTTGTTCCCCGCAATACTCACAACCGCAGCTCTACGTGACGTGCAAAGTGGAGAGAGCAAAATGTCTTCTTTAGTGGATCCCATCCCACACTCCCATAATAAATCATTGACATAATTCTTCTTTTAGGAGCGAAGGTCTACATTAAGGTCCCATCGGCTCCACGCTTGTTCCACCCTCAATGTTAGTAACGCTTGTTTGTGAAAATTCTTATACAAGTCATATGGTTCGACCGCCTTATTCAAGATAATTTTTTACAGCGAGTTTTTAAAAGAGGATGAGACACAAATCATCATGAAAATTCTAATCTTAAAATAGATTAGCACAAAATTATATTTCTTTTTAGTCAAACTTCATAAAGGAATTCTATCAGAAAAAAAGCTTTATAAAGGAAATAAAGATGAAGAATCGTAGAGAGATTTACATGTCTCCCTTTCCATTATCCATACAAAGACAGATAGAAACCCCAAACGAGATAGATGTTAACGGCCGCAAATAAACCAACTTCTCAACGGACGCAACCAACGTCTAGTATTTTCTCTCTCCCATCAAAGCCGTATCACCCCCCATTTCCACTCCCTCCTCTCTATCCCTCCATCTTTTTCTTCTTTATCCCACTTTCTCTCTCTCTACAAGCAGGCAACCGAAAGAAAGAAAAAAAACAAATTACCCATTCACAACTCACACACATTTAAGATTAAGCAATATAGTAATTACCGTATGAATGAAAAGACACGAGTGTTTGATAGCTGTTTCTTGGGTTTGCTTCTGTCTGGCTTCCATAGCCGCGGGCCCAAACTATGAAGGGACCCAAGGGTGTTGGTCGTAAGAGGAGATCATCACCCCGAGACGTCGTTTCTTGGAGCACGCTCTTCTGGTGCACCCTCTTCGTCGTCATCAACTGCGCCCTCTTCTCCGGCTTCAGCTTCTACGCTTTCCGCTTCCTCTTCGGAAGTAGGTTTTTAATTACTCTTTTTTATCATCATTAATTTCTACATGTTTTCCATTTTAATTAATGATTTATTCTTATTACTACAGAAACGTTTCAACCAGTCCTGGTGCTAACATGGCTAGCTCCATCCAACAAACCCATCTCCCCCACCACCATTTCAGTTCGAGAAGTCGTTATGTTTCCAGATCAGGCGCTCGTTTTCCTACATAATTACCCTCGTATCGCGCATGTATTTACCAAAGACGATCTCCACTGCGTTTACTTCTCAGCCAACGACTCGTCGCGGTCCCAGCCTCGCTTCAATCGGCCTCCCATCAACATAGATGGCGGGGATTTTCATAATCAGATTGTCCGGTGCCCGCGCCCGCCACGTAGCCTCACAGTTTCGGTAGGCTTGAAACACAACCACGACGTTCCGGCGGTGCCCTCGTACAGCTGGGACTGGCTCGCCTACGACGCCCTCGTCGACCGCGACAACACCACCATCGTGTTCGTCAAAGGTCTCAACCTTCGGCGCGAAAGAATTTCCAACACAGCAAAATTCGAGTGCGTCTACGGCTGGGATTTCAGAACGACGAGGTATCTATTGAGATCCGACGTCGTATCGATCGCCCAGGAGATCGTACGGTGCAAAACCCCACTGAGTGTGCTGAGTTTCCCGCGTGGGCCCAACAATACCGTGAAGGTCTCCGTCAGAGTGAAAGGCGTTGGAGCAAAGGGAATACTAGACACCATAGCCCGCCCCGCGATCCGACCCGGACTAGCCAACCCGACCCATTGGAAGGAGCACGAAATGTGCTTGTGCTCGATGGTGCGGAATCAGGGTCGGTTCTTGAAGGAGTGGATCATGTACCACGCCCAAATGGGGGTGCAGCGTTGGTTCCTGTACGACAACAATAGCGACGACGACACTGATGTCGTAATTGAGTGGCTACGGAGAGCGAATTACAATGTGACGAGACACGTGTGGCCTTGGATCAAGACCCAGGAGGCCGGGTTCGCCCATTGCGCGTTACGGGCCCGGGAGACGTGCCAATGGGTTGGGTTCATAGACGTAGACGAGTTCTTCCATTTGCCTTCGGGCCTATTGCTGCACGATGTGCTGCGCAATCAGTCCAATTATGACTATGTCGGCGAGATCCGGGCCTGGTGCTACAGTTTTGGGCCTTCGGGCCTCAGACGAGTTCCTGTTCAAGGCGTCACGGTCGGGTACACGTGTCGGTTGGCCGCCCCCGAGAGGCACAAGAGTATTGTTAGGCCTGAGGCATTGAACTCAACATTGATCAATGTGGTGCACCATTTTCATCTTAGGAATGGGTACGAGCCTGTGAATGTGGATAGGGGAGTGTTGGTTATAAATCACTACAAGTACCAAGTGTGGGAGGTGTTTAAGGAGAAATTTTATAGGAGAGTGGCGACTTACGTGGCAGATTGGCGGGAGGAACAAAATGTGGGGTCCAGGGATCGGGCCCCAGGATTGGGGACGAGAGCGGTGGAGCCATGGGATTGGTCACATAGATTTTGTGAGGTTGGGGACACTGGGCTTAGAGATCGGGTGCTGCAGAGTTTTGTTGATCCGCAGAGCCGTCTATTGCCATGGCAAGAGGAGGATGGTGATCGAGTGGTACAAGTGCAACAACAGCAAAAGGTTATTAAGAGAAGTGTGATGATGATGAGAAAAGAGCAAGGAGAAAGCATAGAGTTTTCTTATGAGTTTAGTTAGAGAAATGGCGGTAATTACTTAGGTGGGTTAGTTTGTTTGTCCATTTATTACCTTGTACATAGGATTAATCACACGATGGCCATATTGTATATGTATCTCGACATATATTTTTTTCTTTCTTTGTTTTTTTGAAAATATTGCTGACTATATTCTTGTGTTCATTCACTAATGTACACATTAAATTTTGACTCTAAAAAAAATGTACACGTAAAATTCGTACACATTAAATTTTGTCTGTCTTCAATTTCCTGAAAAATCACTCCTGATTTGGTTTTGCCTTCTTTATTAGACAGTTGACTTGCATCAATTTGGTTAGAATTTTATCCTGAATCATAGCCGTTGGAAATTCAAAAACAACATATGATTCAAAAAATTTGACCGTTAGCACAAAACCCATCCCATCTCTCTACACGTCATTTTCCTTCTGTCTTCTCTCTCCTACGCTTTTCTTCTCCGCAAAAGACGAACATTCCCCTTTCATTCTGTTCCGCCCAAAAAACAACCAAAGATGGCGAGGCGAGAAGAAGAGACGAAACAGAGTCCAAGAGACCCAAAAGTCCGAGCGAGAGAGTCGTCGGATCCGGTTAAAGTTGTGAGCAATGGTACAAGCGGAGACTCTAGCATGTTCAGCCCCAGATTCAAATCCGTGGCTGCCATGGCCGGTTGGGACGAAGAGAGTCTTCTAATCGCAAGCCTCGTGGTCGATGATACGCCTGAGAGACAAGTTAAATACAAGAAGCGTTCTGATCTGCACTTCAAGACCCCACCAACCAATTCATCAAGAAGGTATCTTCAAATCTTCTTGAAATGTTTTTTTTTTCCTCTTTAAATTGATAATCTTTTTTAGTTTCTTGTTTTGTACAAGATTTATTTTTTATTTGTTTCAGAAAGCGCCGAGCTCAGAGAAGGAGCCCAATTTCAATGCCTGTTTCTGTTCTCAACCTTGATGATGACGAAGAAACTAAAAAAGATGGTGCGGAAAGCCTGCACCTTTCGTTCGGAAATTTCCTTCTTTATTTATTTTTCTGAAATTTTGTATGACCCTCCTTTCATTCTCATGTGGGTATATTTTTTGTTCACAGAGAGTGGAAAAGAGAAGGAAGAACCGCAAATTATTGTGAACAAAGAAAAGGAAACAAGAGATGACAAAATGGCTGAGAGCTCTGGTGTTTCTTGCCCACCAAGTTCAAATCTTCCTTGCTTGGATAAGCTTAGGGATGAGCTTTCTTGCGCTGTAAGACCCTTCTGATCTGCATCTCGTTCGCAATTTTGATATTGGTGTATTCAAAAGCAAAAGGTCTTTATTTTTTCTAACAAAATGTGTATCATGTACTCCGCAGATCTGCTTGGAGATTTGCTTTGAACCCAGTACTACTCCCTGTGGACACAGGTATTAATTTCAAAATCAACTAAGCATAGCCTAAAGTTTGCGTTTTTTTGGATCTTATTGCGATTTGAATCATATGTCCATCGACTTTGAATTTCTTATTGGTACTTGAACACACTTAATAAGAAATTATTTCACCTTCTTTTAGTAAAAAACAAGGATCACTTTGTTTTGATCACTAGAACTGTTTGATTGTAGTTTCTGTAAGAAATGCTTGCGGTCTGCTGCTGACAAATGTGGGAAGAGGTGCCCTAAGTGCAGGCAGCTAATGAGGTATGTTTCATCCATAATCCCAAGCTATAATGTTAAAAAATGGGGGTCGACATTAGTGCAATGCACTTTTGGGTTTATCTCCATCTTTTTTGAACATTTGCAGCCATAGTAGATCCTGCACAGTCAACACGGTTCTTTGGAACACAATACAGCTTCTGTTTCCACAAGAAGTTGAAGCAAGGAAAGCTGCTGGAGCCTTAAATAGTAGTGGAGAAACTGTGCGTCAAATCCCTGAGAAGGCGTTTTATAATACGAGGAGTGTTCAAAGTAGAAGGGCATCATCAGGGGTATCAAGCAACAGAGAAATGACCATGAGGAGAAGAAGGGTAATATTAAGCCAAGATGAAGAGGATGATGATACTGCACTAGCAATAAGGTTAGTACAGAACACAGAAGCTGAGCATCAAAACCCAGAACAAGGTGCTTATAATAATCATAGAAGTATTCGGCCTTTAATGACATCAAGTAGTAGAAGGATCCCAAGCCAAGATGGGGATGCTGCATTAGCTCTAAGGTTACAAAGAGAGGAGTTCATGGAGGCTTTTAGGGTCGATCATGGTCAATCTGGCAGCTCTCTTTCCTTGGCTCGAGCAAACCTGAGAGCCATGACATCTAGAGCCACTAGCCATCGTGCAACAACCCGACATTTGTAGTCCATTGTTTTTGTTTTTGTTGTTTCTTCTTTGGTTGAAAATTGTGTTCATTCAATATATTGGTTGAATAATGTTTTCATACAATATACGGGTGCTTTTCTCAGTTTTTTCAACTTCGTTTTTCATGAACAGGTCACTAAACGGAATGAAAAAGAGCCAGAAACCTTGGTATGGAAGACAAGAATTAAAAGGCATAATATTTTATATTAAAGCATACTGAGGCTGATTGAAAGTTGCCGGGCAATTCAGCCTCAACTCATCAAAAATATCCATTAGGAAGAGTTTTTTCCGTGGAAGGTTTTTTAGTTAGGTTATTTTCAAGGTTACAGACATCCGACTTTAGGTTGAAATATTCGATAATCCATTTTTCGACAAATAAATTCTTTTGAACGTAATAATTCATGGCCAACTAATTAATCAAATACAACAAAAAATTTTGAACGTTGAATTCCCAGTCTGTGTTTGTTCCATGAACACGCTACACTAATATCCAAGAGTAAGGCAAACTAGTCCTTCTCATTAGACCTCCAAACAGGAGCCTAAAAAACGTCTCAATCGTGTAAGGGAAGCAAACAAACAAAAAAAACCACCCCGACCTAGAAAAAAAGGGGGGGCCATCTTATAAATGTCACAACACAATCTTCGTTTCACATTGCATGTTACACCACCGAACAGGGTCGCTAGCTTGCGTGTGACGGTTCTGATTGCAAAACTGTGGTTACTGGAGTCATGTACACAGCACATCCCACCCTCGTAGACAACTTGCATGCACTCATGACCTGTATTTGTACAAGGGGCCTTACAGAAGACTTGGACACTTGGTAAATGTATGTGTTTCTGGCGAAGTCAATGCCTGTGAGAGTGCTTTCGGCTACCAAAATGGGCCTCTCCCTTTTCTCTGTTCCATCTTTGTAAGATCATCAAGGCAAAGGAAGTAAAGCCTATAGCAGCCATAGCATAAAATACTCTAAATGGAGCCAAGGCCAGGGAAGAGAGATAAGAATAGTATCCAGCTACCAGGTACATAAAGTTCAATCTCACTTCAAGATTTCGGACGCCAGGTAAAGAAACTAAGAAGGAATTGAACTCGGGCTTTGAAGTGAAGATACCATGAAGAATCACACCTGTGCAAAGAGCTGAATCCACGAGCCATGGAAAGCTATGACCCATCCCTATTCTCTGCAACCAGAAAGTATGTCCTTAAGTAAGTTTATAATGGAAATTTTTATTATAAAAAAGATAAAATTTCTAGAGAGACCAGAAAGATAATTGATACAATTACTGTACCTGAAACCAAGCAACTAGTGATGGGACAAACATGAACGCTGCAGCAAGATGCAAAATAAACAACCCATGCCGATGATGGAATATCTCTAATTGCGCTTCACCAAAACTTTTCGAAGAGTCTGGACTATTGGAGCAGCAATCTCCATCACTTTTGAAGGGAAGGTGGCGAGATCCATCATTGCCTTCTTTTTTACAATCAAATAATTCATGTCTTTGTGCATGGCTGCGAAATGAAGCTGTCAAAAAACTGTTACACAGACATAAAGCAACTCTTAGGATCATTTTTATTACACATACCCTGAAGGTAATACAACGCATGAAGCTTAACATATTATCTATCAACAAGCAACGACAATAATAATAGAAAAAAAAAAAAAAAAAATACTACATGCAATAAAAGGACAGCAAGTGCATGGCTTTGTGCACCATTCCTGTCAAAGTCCAACAGAATCAAAGTGATGACATACCTGCAAAGTGCACTGTGACAGCACAAAGCATCCAAGGACAAAATTATAAATAGACCAAATGCTGCATGAACCAAGCACACCAGAGTAATTGCAGCAAGTGCTGTAACAAGTAGTGGATTGGCTCTTACAACTCTTAACACCTGTTCATGAATCACGTGATAGTGAATGGGTTAACTTGTCAACCTTTTCCCAGAGGACACGAAGGAAATGAGCAACTAACGATTACATTTATACCACAGGATAAAGTTTACCTTCAATGAAAAGAAACTAGAGGAAAGATTAATAAACCGGTTAGCACTTTTTTCCGACAATTGAAACCTGCAACATAATAGTTCCTGTCATTCAGCACATTAACCAGTGAACATGTACATACATGTATACATAAATATGCGCCATTCGAACAGTAATAAAGAGCCGTTTGAACAGCCATACAATGTTTCCCCCATTCTGACGACGGGTTGATGACTTTAGGTTGGAGTTTAGAACTGACTGGCCGAGAATACACAAGCCAATCGATTTTCAAATCATTGATAGTAAATAAAGAGTGGTTTAGAGAGCCTACTAACCTTGTCTTGATGAAAATATGTACAACAGCAGCCGCATAGAAGATGAATTGAGATATCAAAATCAGAATAATTACGAAGCCATTAGCAAGTAAATAACAGATCACCGAGACAACGGTGAAGCTAGCAAATGAAGGAAATGGTTGAGAAATCCAAAAGGAAAGGACAAAAGAAAGCAAGATGGGTGCCATGGCAAGGTAGAGAAATGGCAATGGGATTCTCAAATTAGATTCCACAGCCATAAGAATCGAAGGTATGGGCAGGTCAAGATCCCATGCATGTGTTTGCTGCATTAGTGCAAAAAAGATAACAACAAGGGCGAAACCAACAATCTGCAAGAGAGCAATACCATCACATGATCAATAAACTAAATAAGAAGCATACCTCTTTTCCGCAAGAAAATATATTAAACAATAAGGAAAAGCTTTATCAACCATGAGAGGGAGACACACAGGATAGCCTTCAAAGCACCAACAAAAATGAAAATAAAAAGAAAATACAGAATAGGGATTCTAGCTCCAGTGGTAGAGAAAATTAAACCCCACAACCAAGGCCAAAGTTTAATCCTCCTCCTTCTCCTCCTTTGTACCAAACAAAGAAAAAGGAAAGTACAAAACTGCTGACATCAACCATGATAACTTTCCATATCAGATAAAAAACGACAAATGCTTCTCTTTTGCTTGACAATATGACAAATCACTAACAGAAGCAAGCTTGTGTTGAGATGTCCATGCCTTAGTATATAAAAGTAATTTCGGTATCTTGCTATCTGCATGTATACATCTATTTGTGAAGATGTACATAGTAATGTTAACTAAAAAACTACAGAAACTATACAGCAATTTGGAATTATTTACATTTACAGAGGTTGCATATAGCCATTAAAGTCCATTACACAATCAGAACTTGGTATCACATAGGAAACACAAGTTCTTATTCAATTTGCCACTTACAAACTACATGGATTGCTTCAATCAAATCTCATTAAAGTCTACCTCTTTCCACTTGCATTGTTAAGCATTGTGATTATGTTCAAACAGGACTTGGTTGACCTTTTTCTTTAATCATCAGAAATAACAGAAATAGAGAAGACGCTGCTGAAAAACAAAAATAAAAGCTCCTCCTTCTGCTCTATCGCATTAGGGCTGTTGAAAATAATTACCTGTGAATTATATAGAAGCAAAAACCTACTGGCAGCTGCAGTTACAGAAACAGTCACTGCACTTCTGTATGAACAATGTGGATCTACCTGAACAGAAGCAGAGGTAGACAAATGTAAACATTTCAATTTTTAATGATGACAGGAAGAAACCACTGGTAGATTCTGTAATTTACAAATGTCATATTATGATATGAAAATTTAGGTGACTTCTTACAAGCAACATAACAGAGGTTTTCTCAGAATTTTTAGGTGAACTCCAAAGCGCTGGCGAGGAATCAACAACAATTGTCTCACTATATACATTTGGGAATATGTGGAGACCTGATGTGTCATCCCAAGCAAATGCTACAGGTGGGAAACAGCGAAGCTTACAGAGCTCTGTAATACCAACATAGAACTAACTTAGCCAAACAGGTGAAAGAACAAAGAATTGCTCAAGATGATTACAACTTTTTATTTCACCATCAGTGTTTTGCATTAATCCACGACAACACATGTAACCAAAAAATATAAAACATAATACTACTACTTATTTAAATCCTTACTGCTATTATCTATATCATCAGCCTGTTCATCTGGAAGTCCAGAATTCTTTATTCCACAACCTGCAGTCTTCAAAGAGAATATGACAGGCAAGAGGCCTAAGCTAGTGGTGAATGATAGATTCAAAGCAAGGGGATGATCCTCCTTCAAAGAAATTTCCTGCATAGAAACCAATTCATGCAAAGTCAAAAGTCAATCATTTAAGTTAAGTGACAGCTTAAGCTTATACAATTTCCAAATTCCATAATAAAGTAGCATCATAGGGATATTAACCTTATAAGAAAAACTAGACAGTGACCAAGGAGAGAACTCTCGCTCCCCTTCCTCCGGATTAAAAAACTGCCCAACTGCCATGGAAACTGCTGGTGGAGGTCTTCCTGAAATAGTCTGATCAATAGATTGTCAACACTCGTGCACAAAACTCAAAACCACTTGAAATATCCCATTTAGGGAGAGAGTGGAAGTATTATTCAACATAAGCCAAACCACATACTTTTTTATTAAGAGAGAGAGAGAGAGAGAGAGAGAGAGAGAGAGAGAGAGAGAGAGAGAGAGAGAGAGAGAGAGAGAGAGAGAGAGAGAGAGAGAGAGAATAGAACAAAAATACAAAAGGAGATGACAACACATCCACCTAGGCAAAGCCTACTACAAGCACATAACAAACAAACCAACAATAAACATTAAACTCCCATCCCAACAAAACTTTTTTAGAATGAAAAATTGAGGAGAAACAATACCGGACGAGGTGCAACTGAGATGGTCAGGAATCTGAAGCCACGCATATCCTCAGGTCCCAAGCGAAATATAGCAGAAGGAGGAGCTTGCTCTGTCTGGCTTCCAGGTTCAATCTAATAAGACAGAGCATTTCCACAGTTAAGAGCATGCAGATAGCATCAGCCATTAAATGTGCCAGTGCAACCCATCTGAGTAGCAGCATAATTTGAACATCACTCTTTCATGTAGTGTGACAAATTTTGATCAAATCAAGATAAAGAAAGTCTAATCAAAGTTCAGAAGTCGCATATAATACCATCAAAATGAACCTATTAATAAATACAATCCCGTTAAAATCATTGTCATGAATGCAACATTAAATACCTGTCTTGGTGCTGGTCCTGATGGAATGCGCACCATCTTTGATGTCACTTCGAGGATTCTTATACACACAGGCAATTCTGAAGTTGAGTTTCTTTTTTCAGGCCACAGATGAAGTCTAACCCCAGAACATGGAGCAAGGTTTGTTACAAACATGAAGTGACTTCTTCCATTTGACCCCTGCACATATGGATTAAAGTCTGAGCACTATCAGGGATAGGAAATTCAAAAAATTAAAGAAACTTAACAAGGGCTATCAGTGTGACAGAAACAAAAAGAATATATGAAAGTTAAATATTAATTTGTAATGCTTCAAAACCCAATACACTTGAGATTAAGTTCACAATAATTTCAGTATCAAGATACAGGATGGAAACTTTGCTGATGCTAACCAGTTTTTGTATGTCTAACCACCGTCTTCGACCATCCATGGCTAAAACAGTGACGGTGGTTGTCTGAATGTATAGGTCCCTCTCAAGGCCATCCTCGCTCCAATGAACATTTCTAGGGCATGCAGCGGAAGTGTACAGCGATCCTGTATCATATTACACAAAACATAGAAGAGACAAAATCATCAAATTAACATTCATGACTATTTTTTTTTATAGTCAACATTGCTACCAGTATGATAATAAACAGATTTAAAACTTTAGAAAACTATAAAGGGGAATATAATGGAGTTCCCACAAAGACAAAATGAAAATGTACGTTACCAGTTTTATCTTTTACGTCTCTAGAAGGAACATGTAACGACTGCTGAGACAAGTGTGATTGCGTCATCCAATTGAAACTCTGTGGTATCCCACTACGAAGCATTTTAGAGAATATTGCAAGTCTTATTCGTTTGTCAGAAAATGGCTGGCCTGTTCTGGAGTCTACCAAACTAAGGAGAGTGTGTGATACCTAGATAAGAGCATATGTATTCAGAACTGTCTGTATGATAATTATATCTGGCTTCAAAAAGTTTTTTCCACTTACTTGGATAACTAATTGATTACACCATAAAATAGCTTGATGTTCCATTGACAACCACACATTTCTCATGCCTGTACTACTGATCATAAAACCGTGAGTGGGAGGCACAATGCCATCTAGGGATTCTGACTTGGACCTCACCTAAAGACAAAAACAAGAGTTAAAATGAATCCACAAAGTCAAGGTACATTTTTATTTTATTTTGAAAAGAGACAAAGTCAAGGTACATAAAAAGAATTTATAATACAGTCAACACAATATATCTATACACACAGAGACGTCCATGTACAAATGAAGTTATGAACAACAAAATACTGCAAACACCCACATTAACAGAGAACTACAACACCATTACAATATCTTCAGTAAACTATGAAGTTCCTTCTTATTATGCCAAACCAACAACTTAATATCAGTACCTATATAAAATGAGAGTCCATATGTAACATATAGGCAAATTTCTCAATTATAGTATGCAAGACATATGTCAATTTTGCAAAAAAGAAGTGTATACAGTGGTCCCTTCAGTTTAACATCGCAAAATTCTTGTTGACAGCCAGTGCATACTGCAGAACGCAATGCAAAAACGTATTTACCTGATAATCATTGTAACTGCCAGAAATGGATATAACAACAACATGTGAGAGAACAGGATCAGACACATAATGTCCTGCTCTAGTTGTTTGGACCTCATATCCCTTTCTCCATTCATGATTAACGCGTGCAAAGTAGTGACCCAAGGAAGGCTGCAATGCCACAGGAGGGTATCTGAATAAAGTAGGTAAATTTCATCAAACACTAATTAATGCGTTCACTTTGAAAGTAAGAGCCATTATAAGAGTCACAAACTCACTGGTGTGGGCTGGAGAGAGTAAGAATCGTTTCAACTGCTGATTTCCTCAAACGGTTATGGGCAACAGCAGCTCTAGCAACAAAACCACCCATAGAGTGACCAACCAATATTACACTTTTTGGCAAACTCCCAGAGGTTGCAGCACCTTCTCTTTCTCTAGTCTCATAAGATTCTTTATATTGATCCAAAATCTGCACACGAGGTTGTAGGTCGAACATTTTACAAACTAAAAATTTGTGAAAAGAAACATTCCTCTGGAAAACTGAATAAACCACAAGCCTAAACGTCATCAAGAAAACAAAGACTGGGCAGTGCCAAGAGGGGAGAAAAATTGACAACATGGTCATGCGCAGTAAAGCCCTTTTCTTTTACCAAAGCATACAACATCAATTGTTGTTATTTGGTTAAAGTTGACAGTTTCTGTGACCCCTCATAACTGGACGGGATTGGATCATGTAGAGGATGAAAACAAGCATTTGGACTATCTGAAACGTGGAACTTAAATATAGATAATTACATTATAAAACACATTCTGTTGAATGTTTTTCCACCGGAAATCCAACATAGAGAAGCACATGTCATATTTCTGTCATTTAATTCTTGATAACACTACCTCTTAAGGCAATATTCAGAAATGTAATATGATGCATTAAAAGATCAAAGATGTCATATTCGTATGCAATTGGAAGAAAATAATGAGAGAGAGACCCTGTGAATGGAGTGGACAACATATTCTGCATGTTCTTCAAGTATAGCACTATCCATAGCAGAATGTTCCCCTTCAAGATCCACTGTGAACCAGTCCAACCTGGAATCATATTGGTTGGGTAACTGAAAGGAAGCTACATCTATCTCCTCCCCACCCTCTTCAGGAGTTAGGGAAGCTTCCTGATAAAATGTACGCTCTAGGGGTCCCGCTTGATATGCCCTGTCAGATTCTGCTGCCAGTGAACGTACCTGTAAATAGTAAATTTGCAATAAACATAAAAGGTAAGATTCCATTGTCAATAAGATACAATCTTCCTGACAAATTCGCCAACAAAAATACAAAATTGAGCATTTCAATGAGACATCAACAAATCCCAACTGCGTGGAAAGCAGAAACAACAAGGAGGTTCCTTACCTGTTTGTAGCTACCGCCATTTCCCGGAATAAAAAGAACGGGAATGCCGCTTAGCTTTTTGAGATGCTCCTTAAAATCAATCTTCTTCCATCCTTCGTGGTACAAATACAAGCCGTACTTTGCCGGTGAAACAGCAGTCGTGGTAGGGATAGGAATGTAAGTGGGATACATGTACGTCATGGTACATCCATTTGAAACGGGCTTTAACAAATCATAAAACCCCGCGAAACAAACACATAAGACGAAGACGACGAGAAGTGCTACTCTGGATTTAGCTCTAAAGCCTTGCACTTGCATTGTCACGACTTGTAAGACCACCCAAAACCTATTGCCCGATTCTCCGCATTCACCCACAATTCAACGTTTACTTTCCTTGTAGAACAAATTTGAAACATTAATTAATCAACCAAAATAGAAAAGAAATTAAAGCATTAATGAACTGAGTTGCTCAAAAAGCAGAACCAGTTTCCACAATAATTGAGAAGAAGATGCATTAAATATAATAAAAAAGGAGATCCGTTGTAGAAATTTAAATATAAAAAGAGAGAGAGAGAGAGAGAGAGAGAGAGTGAGAAAGCTGGATTGAAAATACTTACAGATGAGGCAGTAGATCTGAGAGAAGGAGCTGAAGAGCAACACCGAGGGCTCACCGGATCGGAGATGCAAAGGAGAGGTTAGCTGATGCAGCTTAGAATTCAGATTAGAGAGAGAAAGAGCACCTACATCTCAGACACTAGCCCAAAATAGAAAGTAGAAAGAAACAGAGAAACCACTTTCACGGGTCGGATCGGGTGGAAAAGGGGTTGGCCGGATTCCTCATGGGAAAGTTTTAATTTTTAATTTTTTTTTTCTATAAAAATATATAGATACATAAACTCGAACTTTAATTTGAAAAAAAGAAGCAAGCAAAAGTTAGTTAAGTAACATGTGAAGTAGTAAATAATCATTAGCGAAAATTGTTGTAGCTGTAAAAACGGGCTAAATAATCTTTGTGTGCGTGGCTTAATTATAATTAATTATGTAATTAAATTCCCGGATTCAAATCCGAAAGCCTAGTTATTATTAGTACGAGAAAGAAGTTAGGTTTTTCCCGACACCGACACGTGGACAACACAAGCGCAAATCAATGTCGACTTAGGAAATCGAGAAAACATAGGTTTCGCTTCGATTCACATAAAAACGTGACATAAAGTATTTGGAATGGAATTTCACCACTTGTCTCTTCCTTAACCGTCTACTACTATATAGCTAACAAAATGTTTAAGAACAAAAAACAAGGAAAATTTAAAATTCAGAAGTATCTTAAGAATATTGGTAATTGGTGGACGGACAGCGAGCAAATGCTCACAACAAAAACAGCAAATTGAACTTTTAATCCCAAAAGCCTTTCGGCCTAAAACATCAGAACAAGGCATAGACAGAGAACTCTTCATTGAAAATAGGGAGAGAGTGAGAGACAGTGAGAGAGCATTTGATTAATAGAACTGAACTCTATTCATAAGAAACAGTACATTGTAATGCACAGGGAAAAAATGGCACAAGAACGTCCGAATGTGGCGCTCCTGTTAGAAAAAAGGCGGGTACATCTCACAGGCTCATCATCTAAATCCTACTCTCAGGCGACTTCTCTATCTTACAAATAACACAGAACATGACTAGGTCACGAGAAGTAAATTTGAAACTGAAACAACCCAAGTGCTAAAGGAGGCAGAAACCACCAAAACAATATATAGTATCCATCCCAGCCTCCCAGCTAATGGCAGCATACTGGTTTTCTCTTGCTCAGTTTCTAACAGAATACACAGGGCAGAGCCGATTATACCGCGTGGCAACATCAATCGGGTGTGTTGTCTCCAACCTAATATGAGAACTCATGACCTCGAAGTGAGATGTATTTTTTGACCCAGATGGCAATGTCCTCTGCACAGGCCTGGGCCTGAGGGGTCTTGAGAAGCATATCAAGGGTTGCAAATTCATGAACTGCATCTTTATACTCCAGCACAGGTGCATCAACGTTTACCTTCCGGAGCTCCTCTGAGTAAGCAATGGCACGGTCTCTCATCCAATCATGTTCTGCCACCACTGTAAGGGTCGGAGGCATGAGCTTTACAGGTGGCCCCCTGTCTGGGATGAGGGGATTGGCAGCTGGGTGGTCCAAGCTAAACTCTTCCTCAGGTAAGAATAGTTTCCATGCCAATATGCACATTGCCTTGTCATAGAAATAGGAGTTTGCCAATCTTATCTCAGAATGAGTAGGGACACTTCCAATGAAGAACGGATACATCAGCACCTGTGCAACCACCTTGACAGGGTCCAAAAGCTTGCCTGCCTCTACAGCTTTCCGAGCCACATAGTCTGCAATGTTAGCACCACAGCTCACACCAAGGAGAACACATCTGTTTATGATATCAAAGCAAGTTAGAAATTTGGCAATGTAGCCTGCTTGCAGTGTAATTTCCAGAAAGGGAAAGCAAAAACAAACAAAAGATACTATATATACAGGATGAGAAAATGCAGAGAACTAAGTCATATTTAGTGCTCAATGCATAAATAATGCAGGCAAAAAGGTTTTCAGTTTAAAGACCCATGACAGCACAGGAACATAAATTAAGGCCTTAATCTAGACCTTATATAATAAATTGTTCTGCTATGCTAATAGTTTAATGTTTATGGTTGAGGCATTATAGAAGTAGTTTCAAGAAAGCAAAGATTATCTTTATATCAACATAGACAAATCCCACTCCAACCCCTCCTGCTTGCATAAACTATTGACTTTTGTCATCAAGAAATCTTGAGATTTAGCAACAAATTATGAGGAAAATGATAACTGCGTCTTCTCTTAAACTACATGAATCCAGCATGTAATCTAATATAGCAGATCAAGGTATCAGACAGGCCAACCAAAAGCATAAATATTTTAGAAGAAAACCAAGCTTATCAAAACTCTATGGAAAGATAAAATCCAGTCATCCACCAATACCTAGCCACTCTAAGTTGAAATTAGCCCTATTAACTTATCTATATCTATTATATGCGCACAAGTGCACATCGACTGAGCCTCTGTGGACATCAATTGAAGTCCTCAGATGGAAATGAACTCAAACACTAAGCATTGCCACCACCAGCAACCAGCCTAAACAATTATTTTTAGTTGGGAAATGAAACAAGTATGCAAACTCAGCTACTAGCAACCTATTACAAAAAATCAACCCATGGATCTGATAAACTCCAAAGAAATGCCTATAAACTTTGAACACTAGCAATGCAAACATGAAAATCATATTACAGCAATATCCACAAACTGAACCAAGAATCGTAAACTCATGTATCATCATCAATCATAACACACTAGATTAGAAATTTCAGTTAGAATCTAAATATAATAATAGTCACGTTGCAATTAGAAGAAGATTATAACCTCGTTGGATCTCCATGGGCAGCCAACCAAGGCTCAACCATTGAAGCCCCAAAAGTGTCCACGATATGCCGATGAGAATCGGCCTTCTTAAACTCGGTAACGCCGCCGAGAGTGCTCCGTCCGCCTCCCATGGACTTACTGCACTCAGCCAAATTGGCCTGCTTTCCAAGCCAATTCAACACCTTCAACCCGTCCTCGAACGCCGCTGGGTATCGATTCTCCGGCGCAAGCCGATAACCCACCGCCAAAACGACGACGTCGCACAGCTTCGCAATCCGCCGACAGAAGATGTCGTTGGCCACAGAGTCATTGCTGCCACTGACCCAGCCGCCGCCGTGAAACTGCAACATGACCGGCAATTTTCGACCGTTCTTGGTCAAATTGGCCGGCGAGTAGCCTCTGTACACTCCCACGCCAGCGTTCGCCATCAAATTCATACTCTCTATGTCATTGCTACACCCGTAACTGTTCCTTCTCTGCTCGCTTTTCGCCAAATTGGACAGTGTCGGATTGCCATAGCTGTTGCGCCGTGAAGGGGTGGCGGGTAAATTGTTCAGACTCTGGCGGGCCGAATCGGTTCGGTTGGATCCCTGATTGAGATCGGATCGTTTAGGCGTAGCGGTAACCCTAGACTTGGAAGCGGGTTCGGGTGGGTTGAGAGCGGACTCGGGGAGGAAGATTCGGATAGAGAGAGAAGTGAAGGGGTCGATGTGGATGTCCTTGGTGGCAACGCCGTCGTCGAACAGAGGATTGGGTGAGGCGATTGTTTCTTCGGGTCGAGACGTGACGCCGAAAGGGTTGAACTCGTCGGGCTGGGTTTGGATCCGATTCTGCAAACGGTGCTTCAAGAGGAACTTGAAGAACACGCTGTAGAGCTTAACAGCTACGCTTGGCATTTCTCTCTCTCTCTCCCTCTACAAATTATGCGATTTGCAGAGACTGGAAATGAGAAATGTTGTGGGTTTTCTGGAAATCAGTGTAAATTCATGACAGATTAAGGATTGAGATTGGGGATTAATCTCCCGTGAATGGATCACATGGGATGGGATTAGGGTTTTGTAATCTGAGATAGCCTGAATCTTAAATTCGAATGCTTCAATGGCGTAAGACAGAGAGAGAGAGAGAGAGAGAGATTAGAGCGAGAAGAGAGGCAGGTGCGCGAGGGACACACATGCAACTTTACGCTGTCTCTTGTGGCCTGTTCAAATTTGTTGTCATTTTTTCTTTCTGATTTTTTAAATGGAAAATTCTAGATTCAATTGTTGTCTTGTTACCTTAAAAATAAATTCAAAGAAATAAAAAGGGAAATGGGGTGGCTGTAGTAAGCAGAGCTATTATCATCTGTCGCTCGTTTTTACGCAATCAGGTACTGTTCTGTCACTTTAAGTTGTACGCTTGAGGAGTTGGACTGTTGAGTACAATCAGATAAAGCCAGATTATTCGAGGTCCAGTGATAACCGGTAAAGGTGTAGCACTGGAATTATAGGGCTGCATGCAGCGGATCATTTACTGATTGTGGGTGGCGGACGACGGGTCCGCTTCGGAAACGGGAATGAAACCAAATCATATCGATGATCATGATATCATGTTTTTTTTCCTTTCCGCACAAATGCACATTATGAAACCATTTCTTAATCACGTATTAAAAATGTACTAATTAACACAAAATTATACTTGCCTGATTAATATTACATTTATTATAGCCCTGTATTTACTGTCCCCGTCACATTTAAGTAAATTTCCTGAAGCTTAATTCGATTAAACTCCTTTCTTTTCTTAATTAGCATTTGTTTAATAACTTTTAATTCCTTACGTGAAAGTGAGTTTAATAAAGTCACTGGAATTTAATATGTATCCTGTTTAACTTTATGTCTTCATTGATTTGATACTAACATCACGATCATAAGATCCTTAAAAATCTATCTTTTTACTTTTATGTGGTATTCAATTGAATGGTGTCAATAAATTTCCGAATTAATGAACAGTATATTTAGTTAAATTTTTGGTGTATTTTTTGCAAAATGATAATTCAAAATGGTTAATAGCAGTTACCCGAAGTCTAAGATAATTCCTTTATTAGTAAAATAAACATTTGGATAATCATGGCTGGACTATGAATATGAAGATAAGGTTACTTTCCTTTTTCTTCTTGCACTGCATCATGTTATGGGTAAATTCAATGAGTTTAGTGGTCAGAATTTATTAGTCAGATTTTTCTGTCCATAAATTCATATTTTTTTGTTCAGGTCTGTAGCTGGACCAATTAGAGTATATCCTCGTCAGCAACAGGTAGGCCATCATTAATAATGCTCAATTATTGTTTCGATTAGGTGGAAACAAGTTGGCCAGCCCTCAGCTCAAGTC